CCGGCCCGGATGCCGAGGGGAGGCCGCTGCGCGCGGGGAGGGATGGGCTAGGCCTCCGTGGCTGCGGTCGGAGCGGCCCTTCTGTCTCCGCGTCAGTCCTGGCTGAACACTCGCCGGGGTTGACTTCACAGCTCAGGGCGCGGGAGCAGAGGCTGATGGCCGCGTAGCTGCTGTCTCCCGCTCAGCGTCAATCGTGAGGGCAGGGGGCCCGTCACAGAGATTGCAGAAAACCCAGTCAGAGTGCTAGCTGCGGGGAGGGTAAGGAAGGTGATCGGACGCTGGGAGCCGGGGTTGGTTTGGCTGATGATAAGCTGGTGCTGGTTGTCAGGACTTGGGGTTTGAGAAACTTGACTTACATTCAAATAGATTTATTAAGCATCTACTAATAGGCAAAGCCTGTGTAGGAAAACTTGCAATTCTTTAACCCGGGGCTTCTCAAAAAATCAATTCATTTCCGACTATTAGCTTAGAACATGGTGATTACAGTTGGTTTAAAAATAGGTGTCAAAGAAGCCCGGGGATTTAAAAAAGAAACAAACTCAAAAATTTGATAAAAGTGACACTATTAGACTTGAGGCATTTTAGTTAGTGTTATTTCTGTTGTGTTTTTTTCTCAACTGCAAAAGGAGAAAAAAAATCAGAAGTCTATTCAGATTTGAAAGGAGAACCGGCATTGTGGACTAGACAGTCCCTAGATTGTGAATTCATGAAGAGTTTGGGAAATGGTTGTTCATCATAATGATAAAATGCATACTTTTCAAATTAATTTGCATTTGACCACAGTTGTTTTGGAATTATTCCACGCGAGGCTAAAGGTTCCGTGAAGGCAGGGACTGCCATGTCCCTCTGTGGATCTTTAGTTGACCCTGACCAGTGGAATCTGACATTTAATGCATGTTTGTTGAATGAGTGAAACGGTGAAGGAAGGGAAATGTCCCTGATGAAAAAAAACACACAAAACCCTCCTCAATAACCTCTACCTGTTGATGAGGTCAAAGATAATTGGTGGCCCTGAGTGGTTTCGTAAAGAACAGCTGCTTTTCATTTCCCCCAAGCCTCCAGATCAGGGGGTTGATTCAGGCAGTGGTTCCAAGTATTGGTCAGAGGCCGCGTGACAGCCTTGATGAAGTTGTCAGCTGTCCTTGACAAAAGTTAGGACAATGTAAGTAAGCCTTTTATAAAGGTGAATCTATTTACTCTAAAGGCCCGCCCTTTATTCTGAAATTATGTTCTTTCTGCTTTTCTGGTATTAAAATGTGTCCTGTTATGGAAGAAGGTGATAGTAGATAGTGTGTGTGTGTGTGTGTTTGTGTGTTTGTGCACGTGCACTTAATGTCCTGACTGAGCAAAATAAAAAGTAGTGGTCCTCTGCTAATCCTCTTATTAGAAAGCCATTTAAATTCAGAAGGCTAGACCCCCTGATCAAGGGGAGTGGCTGGCTGGAGCTACTGGAGACGGGCCAGGTTAGGCTTTGAGTTCCAGGGGTACCTCCTGACCTGCAGGTAGAGGTCTGAGGATGTTCATCACAAGAAACAGTATTAACAACAAGGTTCCAGTATAACTTTGTGCAGTGTTGTGTCACAGTGTAAAGGAGAAATTTAATTTTTAAAATAAATGCACAAGACTTTTGCCACGGTACATATTGTTATTTTATTTGAAACTGTACTGAGATATTTCTGCCAAGTGCTTCAACTAGTATTGCATTATTTGTTTATAATCACAAAAGATGTTACTGTACTGGCATTTGTTTTTAAAAAGCTGTCGATATTCAACCAGCATGCCTTGGACTTTACTGTGGGAAGACCCTATTATTTAAAAATGGCTCAACTGAACTGTATGGAGAATGTGGGGTAAGTCTTAATGTTTGTATGTTCATTTGTAAAATCTTTTTGCTTTTGAAATATTTTCACATGTAGTATATCTTTTTTCTTCTGTCTACTCAGTAATTTCTAAAAGACTATGTAGGCATTAATAAAGTCTTTGTGTTGTCATATTGATTGTCTATAATACATCTTTCTTTACAGTCGCAGTTACTGTGTTTTTAAGAACATTTTATAATTTTAGAGTAATTTTAAATTACTTTTTATTAATGATATAGTACAGTGACTTGGATATGCAAGTCAGTTAACATTACAATTCCAGAACACTTGTTTGCAATTATTTTTATACGCTGTTAATAGCTAAGTTTGTCATTTAATATTAGTCAACTATTTTAGTAACTTAGTAAAAGGACTCCTTTTACAGTTGGTTTCATACAGATAGAGGCAAATACAGTGTAGATTTCTTTTTATTTTACTTACGCTTTCTCTTTTTTATATCTGAAAGATGCACATGTAAATAGATGTTTAAACAGAAATGGGACATTTATAGAAAGATTTTGGGGGTGTTAATGTTCTAAAGTAATATCTGTACATAAAATATTATTTTTATGTGTTGCAGGTGTGTCCGAGAGGACAGAGAACAAACGCACAGAAGTACTGCCAGCCTTGCACAGAGTCTCCAGAGCTCTATGATTGGCTCTATCTTGGATTCATGGCTATGCTTCCCCTTGTTTTGCATTGGTTCTTCATTGAATGGTACTCGGGGAAAAAGAGGTGAGCACTTCCTATGAATGTACCTGGATGGACTGATGCTGGAATAATTATTAGTCAGAATCAAATAATTATACTTCTGTTGTTTGTTTTAAAAGCGGTAAGCCTGTTTGGTTTTATATTCTGATTACTCTTGATTGTGGCAAGAAAACTTAATGATAGGGCATGCCTCAATATGTATTGAGAGAAGTATCCTTTGTCTGTTTTACTTTAAATGAGCTTGAGGGAACTTATTTTTATGACTTCCTTTTTTGTTGAAGAAATTGAAAAGATTTTAAAATTATCATCTTTATTGTTTTTTTTTTTTTTTTACAAAGAATTGCTTTATTGTTCTAGAACTAATACTTTGTAATTTAATTTACTACTAGTAATCTAGAGTAATGTAGTTAAAATGCTATAACTGCAACCTAGTTATGAAAACATACTAGCACATTATCTCCATAAGCATTTATTAAGCACTGTGTTTTATGTTCACAAGATCGGAGGAGGAGACACACAAAAATAACTGACATGGTTCATAGTCATAACCTTTTAGAGAAGACAAATGTATATACTACTGAATGTATTATAAGTCAGTCTTAAAACTGTATAAACAAAAAGTGTGTAAAAGCATTGTAAACAAAATGCTCTGGAATCATGAAGAAAGGAAGAGATAAATTGTGCCTGGTAGGATCTGAAAGACTTGGGGAAAGAAAAAAAAAGACGATTTTAGGCAGAGGAAAGAGCTTGAGCAATGGCATGGAGGTATGAAATGTGTGCCCTGTTAGGGTGGGAATGGAAGTGGTCCCGGGTGGTCAGCGTGTGGATTGCTTATGAAAGAAAGGTGATGAAAGGAGAGTGGGGAAGATAGGCTGCGGCCAGCATGTGAGGGTTCCTGATGAGGATGTGAATTTTATTCTACTGGGAATGAGGACCCAAATTATACCTTAGCATATATTAGCCATACTATGTATGGCTTAGTATATATGGCTTTTAGTTCCTCTAACATCTCAGTATCTTTTCTGCTTTAGGTCCTTTCCCTTACCCCAAACTTTTCTCTGCCTGAAATACTTTCTTGTCCCTCTAACTGCAACTTTTTACCTAATCGCCTTTTCCTCCCTTCGGTTTAAATTACACCTACTCGGAGAGGCCTTCTCTGACCCAATCTAAAGTAGGTCTGTCCCTTATTTTTCTTTTTTAATAGCACTCTTCATTTGTTTTTGTTTTGATTTAGCACTCAACACAATTTATAGTTAAGTTTATTTCCTCAGTTAGCGTTCCGCCCACCCCTGACTGTCGGCTCCAAGAGTGTAGTGGCACTCCGTCTTCCATGAAGTCTGCAGAGACCAGCACGCAGCTGGCCCGTGAGAGATGCCCACTCAGTATTTGCCGAGGGAATGATTTATTCATGAAGGTTTGGTTTAAAGAAGTAACATCCTTGGATGTGTATTTTAGGAAGATGACTTCTGTGGAGGGTAGATTAGAGGAGAGATATATTAGAAGGCTGTAGCCCAAGAAACAGTGATGGCTGGGCTCAGGTCCTGGGAACAGAGGTGGAAGGTGGAAGTGGAATCAGCACTTTTCTGGATCCGACGTAATAAGTCCACGGTGATTATTTATGTTAGAAAAGCATTCATTATTTTTCAGAAGAACATACAGATTTTTTTAAAGCTCTCATCCTTTTTAAGATTTTTGTTACAGAGTAATGAGAGATGACAGTGAAAAGGATGTGATGTGCATAAAGCTAAAATAGAGTAAAGGCTCAGTTAGTTGTTGGAACTTCTCGGCTCAGAGTAGAGAAGAGATGGGGGTAGCAGATGTAGCTTCCAAATGCATTAGAACTAGAACATCAGGTGTGTTTTGAGGGAGGATCTTGGAGCAGAAGGTAGAAAAAAGCAGTGATCAGTGGTAGGAGGATTTAAAAAGGACATAACTGCTTTGCCTAGCAAGTTGGTAGCTAGTAACACAAGGGCCCTCTTTCATTTTCCTGAAACGTTGCACTTTTTTGAATCATTGATCGGCTGCCTCCTGCAGGCTCCGTACAGGGATCACGTCCCAACCAGGGCATGCAACCCAACTGGGAATCGAACCGTAACCTACTGGTTCATAGGTCGACACTCAATCACTGAGCCACGCCAGCCAGGTGAGATGTTGCACTTTTAACGAAGGTAGTAGGGCCCTAGCTGATCAGTGTTTCTCAACCATTTTTCATTATCACATCTTTAAAAAACTTTATAGATAACCTTTCGTTCCTTAATTCCATCTACCCTCATGAAATTTATGTTTGTTTATGCAGTGTGTGTATATATGTACTTTATTATAAAAAGTGTAGGAGTATTTTACCCACAAGGACCAGTTCTTGCCCCCTGGGGAGCAATATCACTATTGAGAATACGTGGCTAGATAATAATCAAAATTCTCCTTTCTGGCACCCTTGCTTCTCCTAGAGTTTAGTATTAAATTTGTTTTTCTTTAAGACCAGGGCGAGATAGGCAGAAATTGCACATTTCTATGTAATGCAGGCAGGAGCTTTGCTTCTTCTGTGATTTGTATTTATATAATTTACAATTTTTCAAATATACTCATTCAACAGTCTTTAGGGGTATTTGCAATACATTGCAGGATTCAGAGATGACTAAATTGTGGATGCTCATGGTCCAATGGATGAGATGACAAACCTTCACATATATATCAGGTCCTGTACTAGAGGCATGTGCAGAGATTTAAGGCTGCATGAAGAAGAAAGAAGTTAATTTTACCTTCTCAACTAGGATGGTGTCATAGAAGAAGAAACTGATTTTAAGCTGGACTTTGAAAAATAATAGTTTTTGATAGAATAATTGCAGAGTCTGTCAGACATAAAGAAAAAGATGTGCAAATGTATAGAAGCAAAAAGCTCTGTATAATCAAAAAATGAGAGCTGAGAATGCTGTGGAAAAAAAAGGGGGAAGGCTAAATGAGGCCAGAATATAAAGAGATTGGGACTTGGGGAGTCAGGAAATGCTCATAAAATGGGGGGATGACCCCAGAGCTGATGTTGAAGGATGCAGTTTGCCAGAGGGGGAATATGTTTTGAGGGGGAGGGAAGCATACCCAGATCTGTGAGGGGTGAGTGATTTAGTAGGGCCAGAAGGTGTGGAAGATAAGGCTGGTGAGGTGTACTTTTCCTAAAAGGCAGAAGGGACTCAGGGAAGTACTTTAATAAGGATACTTTGAGGGTCAGGTTTCATTTGGTAAAGATCACGTGGTTAACTGCAACTGGATTCAAGGGGAGCATAAGAGGCCAGTAAGAAGGCTAAAACAATGGCAAGAAATGATGAGATTGAAATTTTGCCTCTAAAAATATGAATTCTATAAGGAAAGAAAAGATTGGATTATATATGAAAGTGTAAATGTTTAAGTATCCAGTGTTTTCAACTGTGTAAAATGGTGCTAGGGTTCTGCTTCCAACAATATGGACTAATCATGAGCTCCAGGTGACCTTCCTGCATGACATTCTGAAGTCTGTGGAAGACAAACTAAGACATTGCTGGTCTTCCTGGAGTTAAGAGAGAGGTCCAAGAACTCTTCTCTTTCAGAAAGCAAACCCGCCCCGAGCTGGGGCCAGAGTGACAAAGCAGGCAGTGGGGATGGGAGGGTTGCCCGAAGTTAATTGTTGAAAGCGGCAGTGCTATTGGATACTGAATCATGGGCAGCCATGGCTAAGCCTAGATTCCCAAGGGGCTGAAGCCCAAGGTAGTCGTGTGCATGGCACCTGGGAAAAGCAGTAAGTCCTTTTTGCTAGAAAGCTTCCCCATTCTCAATTTAGGCCTCTAAGACTCTGGTTTAAGATCTATTAATGATCTCATAATCTGTGATTAGTAAATAAAATAATCACTATGACTGAGCATTGGTAGTCATAACAAATAATATATGCTCCCAGAGGCCTACAGATAATGGACTTTTAGCTACAGAGTATTTACCTGTTACCTTTATAATGTTTAAAGGAATAGAGGGTGCAGTCACAAGGATCTCCAGTCAGTAAGAGATTTGCTTAAAAAAAAAAAGGCATTTCTAGAAATGAAAATTTTTACTTGTCCCTCAAAACGGTAGGTCAATTACTAGATTAAACAGTTGAAGATGGAATTAGTGAATTAGAAAAAATATATACAAAGAAATAATGCAGCACTGAGAGAAAAGGAGATAGAAAATATGAAATATGTTAAGACGTGGAACATAGAATGAGAAGCTGTATTATGTATCTGAACTACCTGGTGGGAATCCACTCCAGTTTAGTTAAACATTCAGACTTAAGAGACTGTCACAGGTCATACCGACTGCCGGTGTACTCAGAAGGAACACGGCCGACAGCAGGGCAGCATCAGACATTTCTTGACAGCAGTAGCTTTTCAGCGGCTGTGCTCAGCTTTGAGGAAATAAGGTCCACATTGAGTGGGTGTGAGAGTCGTCAGGCTTAGTCTTATGCCCCGGAGGAGCGAGAGTAGTTTTGAAGCATAAGTACAATGGGAATAAAAACTTTAGAAAAAGTGCTAACCCTGGCCTGTGTGGCTCAGGTGGTTGGGCTTCGTCCAGTGCACCGAAAGGTTGCTGATTCCATTCCTGGTCAGAGCATGTGCCCAGGTTGTGGACTTGATCCCTAGTAGGGGGCGTGCAGGAGGCATGTTTCGCTCTCACATTAATATTTCTTTCTCCCTCTCCCCTTCTCTCTAAAAATAAATTTAAAAAATATTTTTAAAAATAAAAAGTGATAAAAGACAATTTAATAGAAAGGTTAACTCTAGGGTAGAGACAGGTGTGTGGAATAGGGAGAAACAGAGGAGATATAAGTTGTTATTGTTCTAGTTATTGGGTTAGATGGTGAGCTTACAGTATTTATTATACTCTATAACTAATATTTAGGTATAATTTTGGTGTACTTTTTATATTTAAGATAATTTTAAAAATGATGCATAAACAACTTGAAGAACATTTTAATAGCAATTTGGCGAGGCACTAAAGATAAGGGTAGATCTAATTTCTGCTCTTCTGCACATTTAGGTGATACTGGCACGGTATAATCCCTTTTTAGTAAACAAGGTTAAACTCTTCTCAAGTGGTTTTCATGTATGTTTGACTTTTCTTACCCGTTAAGACGCTGTATCCGTGTCATTCCTTCTTCGCCGACTCTGTCCACACCTTTGGGGACCCCTGGACCTGCTGGGGCTGGACCCCAGCATCTGGCGCCCGAACAGGGACCCTTAGGTAAGCACCCCGCACTCGGGATGGATAGGACTCCACCGTAGGAAGAGGGTGGATAGTCTTCGCCAACTCCGTCCACACCTTTGGGGACCCCTGGACCTGCTGGGGCTGGACCCCAGCATCTAAGAAGATATTTTGTTTCAGGAGTCAACAGTTAAAATTTCTTTACAGAAACCATATCTTGAATCATATCCAGGTTTTATGAAAAGCCATTTAGCACTACGTTTTGGGTAATTGTGCTTCTTTGGTTTTGCTAGTTCCAGTGCACTTTTCCAGCACATCACCGCATTATTTGAATGCAGCATGGCCGCCATCATCACCTTACTTGTGAGCGATCCAGTCGGTGTTCTTTATATCCGTTCATGCCGAGTACTGATGCTTTCTGATTGGTACACGATGCTTTACAACCCAAGTCCAGATTATGTCACCACCGTGCACTGTACTCACGAAGCTGTCTACCCACTGTAAGTGTGTATCTAGACTTAAGATCATGTTTTAAAAAATGACAATTAGAGATTTAATTCATTTCCATGGGCTTTGAGCATCGTAAAATGGCATCTAGGCCCTGGGGGAAATACACAGAAATGATTTTTTTCTCTTAAGGGATACATCGTCTGATAGGAGAAAATAGAAATACAGCTTAGTATAATAGAAGTGAAAGTGTTTTTGCGTTGGCTTTGAAGTATGTGTAAACACAAAATAAGCCATCTGTGTTTCTTAGAAAGGGATTTATAAGGAACACCTTTTTGATACACAGCAGAGAAGCAATATCTGACATATGGGAAAGTATGGGCTTTGGAGCTGAAAGCAGGCTTGAGTTTGAATCCTGGGTCTGCCAGTTGTCCTGTTAACTCGAGCATGTTAGGAGCCTCTTGTAACTCACATTGGGAAAATGGGAATGATGATCCCTCGTAAGGTGAGTTTGAGGATTAAATAAATCCATACAGATCAGATACTGTGCAGTGCTTCACGTATGGGAAGCACCCAACAGTAGCTAAAATTATTATTAGAGGGTTTGGGTTAATGTTCTTTTTTCCCCCTGTTTTTCTAAATAAATGTAATTTCCATCAAAATATTTTGTTTTAAAAATATCAAATTCATAACATTCTATATAATATCATCCCAGACTACATTATTTTTAGAATTTCTGTAAATGGTTGGTGTTCATTTGATGTGTTCTTTTTGGTAAAGGTATAGTAGAAGAGTCTGGTATTTATGTTCTAGTTATAGCAAGTGTTCATTACATAATATGCTCGATAGAATAGTCCTTTTTGAGAAAGTTCTAATAGTACTAAGTGTCAAAATACACATGCACATATGTAAAAAGGTAATTTTCAAAAAATAAGATCCAGATGTAAAGATATGAAAATCTTTTCCACCTGCCCAGCTTTAAGCCCTATCTCTCTCTACATATATTTATAGCTAAAATTTATATATAAAGGACTGATAAAATCCCCTGATTTAATAGAGCTGTACCATCAGCTTCAATTAATGAAATAATGGCTACATAGTATTTCACATAACATTTAACCAGTTATCTGTTGTTGAATATTTATTTTGTTCCTTAGTTTTCTTTATTATATGATCCAATAAAAACCTTGTTCATAAAGTTATTTTTGTGAATCCCTGATTATTTCCCTTTGAAAATTTCTGCAAGTAAAATTGTGGATCGAAGGATATAAACATTTTTTTAGGATTTTGGATACACATTTCCAAACTGTCTCTGGGAAGGGACCAGCATGCACTTTTCAGTAATGGTATGAGGGTCCTTTTGGGAAACTGTCCACCAATGTGAATATTCAATGGGTAGACTTAATATGCTTTTTTAACCTTTTATAGGATGTTTGATTTAAAAATGATCAATGATAAAGTATTTTAAAAGTATTTTTGATCATGTAATTATTTATTTTACAGCTACACCATTGTATTTATCTACTATGCGTTCTGCTTGGTGTTAATGATGCTGCTCCGGCCTCTGCTGGTAAAGAAGATTGCCTGTGGGTTAGGGAAGTCGGATCGATTTAAAAGTATTTACGCTGCACTTTACTTCTTCCCCATTCTAACCGTGCTTCAGGCCGTTGGTGGAGGCCTTTTATGTAAGTTTCTTGGGTAAATAGCTATACATTTATTATATGTGATCAACAGTGTCTTCTCTGAGTATAATTTTGGAGCTTTTTCTTTAAAATGGAATTTTTTAATTCTTGAAAATAAACCACCGTATATATTTTTGCTAAAACATATAATAAGCCTTATTATTTTTTTTTAAATCATGATTTTTTTTGGAATGAAATAGAAATTCTCAGGAAATCAGTGGCAGCTAACGAAAACTGATTTTTATTTAGAGAATATTTTGTATTTGAAGTTTATAACCTAAACAGAAAGATTTTTAAAACCCAAGTATAAATTAGAAAACAAAAACTGGCTTTTGCATATAATATATGGAAATTACTCTTGGTAATGTATACTATTTATCAAGTTAGATTTTAGATTTCTAAGTTTCTTTATGAAAACCTTTTAGATACAGTAAAATAATCTTCAGTATATTCTTTATTTTAATACTAGAGGCCTGATGCACGGAATTCGTGCACTCCGGGGAAAGGGGAGGGCCCTCAGCCCAGCCTGCACCCTCTCACAGTCCGGGAGCCCTCTGGGAATGTCCGACTGCCACGGAGGCAGGCGGGAGAGCCTCCTGCCACTGTGCTTGCCCACCGTGAGCCCAGCTTCTGGCTGAGCAGCACTCCCCCTGTGGGAGCGCACTGACTGCCAGGGGGCAGCTCCTGCATTGAGCGTCTGCCCCCTGGTGGTCAGTATACATCATAGCGACCGGCCATTCGGTCGATTTGCATATTACCCTTTTATTATATAGGATAGCCATTCATTCATTTATTCAGCAACCATTTAGACTAAATTGTTATGCAAAGGAAGAATAAGAAAAAGTTGGTATTAAAGGGTTCACATATTACTAGGAAAGCTGTAAGTAGCTGAGGGGACATAGTGTGGTACTTACTTGAATATGTGACATTGACTGGGATTTTGACATTGACAAGGATGTTAGATACCATCTTTTATATACTGCGGAGCCAAAAACATTTACTGTCTGGCCCTTTACAGAGAGCCTTTGCTGACCCCTGCCTCAGGGCACTGAGGCTTCCATCTCTCACAGGACTGATTGAGAAAGTTTTCAATTATGGGGAGAATTAAACTTTTGAAATTTTTGATGGTTTATTTCAAAAATTTGCTTAATTTTCAACATAATGCAAATGTTTGTTTTTCAGATTACGCTTTCCCATACATTATATTGGTGTTATCTTTGGTTACTCTGGCTGTGTACATGTCGGCCTCTGAAATAGAGGTAGGAAAAATGTTTTCCTTTGTTAGAGATTTTATTTTATGGGTTTGACAATTAAATAGCATTATACATATGATATAACATAGCACAACTGATTGGTTTAGTAATCTTTGGCTAGTTGATGTCATTACATAGCTTATGAAGGGTTGTATACTAGACTGTATTTGCTTGGGAAATTAGTGAAGTAGTCAGGCTCAACTATCTAGCATATTGGAGAAAAAAATCACATAATTTACTCAGAAAATATTTAATTATGAAATATTGAAAACAAATGCCATTTTGAAGGAAACATAAAAATGCTTTATGATATATAGAACTAATTTTACAGTACATTTTACAATGGCAACACTGTCATTAGTAATTATACTGTACATTCTCCACCCTTCTATATTTTGTCTCCAATTTTATTTTCTTGATTATGGATGTTTACAGTTGTCCTCTATAACATCTATACTATTTAACACTAACAGTAACATTACTTCTGATACTGTTTCTGTTTTGAGATACCCATTTGTGTTTCTAACTTTTCAGTATTTCTGTGGAAGGTCACTGTTAGAAAGGACTCCTTATTCTGAGGCTGACCTCTGAAGGAATAGTGTGTCAGTGGCTTAGTACTATTTCACCCGAGCTTGCTAACCTAGTGCCCATGCACTGTCTTCGCTGCCCACCACACGTGATAAGACATGTGCCTTCTCATAATTCTTAACCTTAACCCAGGGATATTATATTTTAATTTAATCCAGAGAAAGTAAATTGTTAATTATTTTGGAATGCTTGCTGTTGATGCCTCTCTTTCAGTTCATTAGTGAAAAGGTGAGAGAGAATGACTGACAGGGAGAATAATGTAGTAGAGGAACAGACAGAATATTTTGATGTTGATTATTCAATTGTTTCCATTTCCCCTTTATAATCTTTAATCATTGTCGAAATTTGTATAATTAAAGAAGATAAGCAAATTAGTTTTAGCACGTTTTTCAATGCTAGGGAAATATTTGAATAAAATGAAGTTTATGAATTTGTTCATTATCCATAACTACTATAGATAGTAGTTATGTTAACTTGGAACTTATTTGTGTCCCTGCCCCTGGGGATCTCTCCATATAAAATGTTCATGTACTTCAATTAGGACTCCACCCATAAATCCGAGAGAGAGACCTGGATCAGGAAGGCAGTCTATAAGTCTAGCTTTAGGCAAGTTAAAGAGCCATTTAGTAAGAGAAAGTTAGTAATGGAATATTGCAAATTCCATTTCAGTATGTTTATTAGCACATTCAACTATTACTTTAATAATAATTTGGGCCTTCCCATTTCTGCATATTATAGAGCTGTGTTCAAGAATAAAAAGAAACCAGAGTAGGTCCCGTGTCGTTTCTGCTCCCTTCTACCGGTCCAGGCAGCAGACCCCAGGAGAGCTGAGGTTAGGGAAGCTGGTGTGTGCGCCTGTTTCTCACCTGTAGACGCAGCTGCCGGGCAGGAGGAAGGCACGTCACGTGGTGTTCCCCTTCCAGCTCATTCCTTCAGAAGCAACCCTAGTGCTTCCCGCGTTGACTCTGGTCCTGAGCTGCCTCAGTGCTTACATGACCTCAGCCAGGAAGCCTCCCCCTGCTCCTCGCAAGTGCAGAGTCTAGCAACTGCTCTCTGAGGTCCCTTTAGCTCCAAGTCTGTGATTGAGGTTATGACTTTTAAAATATACATTTAAATCAAAATATAAGTGATTATCTGTTTCTCTCTTCTTCCTTTTATAAAATGTTACAGAACTGCTATGATCTTCTAGTCAGGAAGAAGAGACTCATCGTCCTCTTCAGCCACTGGCTACTTCATGCTTACGGGATCATCTCCATCTCCAGAGTGGATAAACTCGAGCAAGACTTACCCCTTTTGGCCTTGGTACCCACTCCAGCCCTTTTTTACTTGTTCACAGCAAAGTTTACTGAACCTTCACGGATACTCTCAGAAGGAGCCAATGGACACTGAATATAACATGCCAAAACCCCTAAGAAGCATTCTTAATAAAAAAGTAAAGAAATTAAAAATGTATTAGTTCTCTTCTGTCATACATGGGAATGAGTTTGTCAATATGTCGTAATGTTTTTGGTTGGTTTGTTTGATTTTGTTTTTGACCTAAGACTTTATGATTAGACTTAGAAAATACAAACACTATAATACTCTCTTACATAGTATAATACACTATCCCCGCTTATAGTGCTCTATTATATGACAGGAAGCCTATCTCTTGGAACAAATTGGTTATTGTTTAGAGCAAAACATGCTTCTGTTTTTATTAAGTACTTTAATAAGTATAATATGGAATTCTTAGCTTTGGCACAATTGTGCTTGCCTGATGTGTTTCAATCTGGCTTTCAAGTGTAATGAATTATAAAGACATACCTGTGGGGTCTGATAGCAAGCATGGAAATGTAAAGTACGTTGTTTTTTGTTATCTGTTTATTTTCACCGATATAGTATTTTCATCAAAAATAGAGCATAATTTATATAACAGGTTTTCTGTTTATAGGTAGTTTGGTTGAAAATATCTTCATATTATTCCTGTTTCTGTAAAGAAAAACAGTAATGAAAAACCTGACAAAAAGTCTCAAATGTTCTGACATTTGTATTTGCCACACTAATTGTGGAAATTAAAAATATTAGTGAGATTAATGTCTTTTCCCCACGTGAATAAATACATGTACTCACATATATCCTTCCTCTTACATCTTATTTAAAAAATTTGATTTTAGACAGAGGAGGGAAGAGAGAGAAACATGAATTGGTTGTGCAAAGATGGAACTGGCAACCTAGGTACGTGCCCTGACCGATCGAATCTGCAGCCTTTCGGTGTATGGGATGATGCTCTAACCAACTGCACCAGCCAGCTGGGGCTTATATATATTTTTTAAGGATGCATACACTTGCCAGAGACACATTTCTCTCCACATTGGGACATCTCTGAATTAGGCTGCATCACACAACTAATGGCTTCTTAGATTTAACAAAATGCAGACTCTATACAGCATAGGAACAGGTTTACTGTGGTTGTTGATAGGTATGCTGCTTGTCGATTTTTATACTCTGAATAGACTTACGGTTGTAACCATGGAAATAAGATTTTTATTTACTGATTCTGCTATTGGTGGGGGTTACCCAAGTTTGCTAAATCTCAAACTTTAAGACTTTCATTGACAGTTGCAAATTGCAAAAGAATGCACTCACTTTCTCTATAGTTTTGTTTATGCCTTTTGAATTCACAGCAGTTGTATTCTTGGAATTATTTTGTTATTTTTTCTTCGTTACTATCTTTTTTACAATACGTGCAGCCACCGGAAAACGGACTGTTTTGGTACGTGTCTGTTTGGTCGTCTTTTCTGTAGGAATAAAAATAAAATTGTAAAAATTCTCTATGTATTTCAGATAGGTTTGGGTGGTTATTAGTGTCCATTAAAATTCTAAGTTGCCCAAAGAATCCCTCTGTTGGGCAATTGCACAGTTGGAAAAGGGGAGGCCTGGGGGGTCATGTATCTGATTACCAGGACTGTTCTTTTCCCACCGCATTTGGAGCCATCTTAAGGCATCTTCTCTGATGTTCTATTCTAGCAGAAAAGTGTGTATGCAAAATGAGAAATCATGCAGGTAATTATGATTACAACTCAAAGGCAAAGACTTTCAGGAATACTTAATACATATCTGCATTTTTACAGAGAGGAAGGGAGAGGGATAGAGAGTTAGAAACATCAATGAGAGAGAAACATCGATCAGCTGCCTCCTGCACACTCCCCACTGGATATGTGCCTGCAACCAAGGTACATGCCCTTGACTGGAATTGAACCTGGAACTCTTGAGTCCGCAGGCCAGTGCTCTATCCACTGAGCCAAACCGGTTAGGGTCATATCTGCATTTTTAATTTGCACTGTGAAGAACAAGAGGAATAATTCATAGCACCTGTGGCTGCTAATGTTATTAATTAGCTTGTTAAAACGTGGTTATTAAGAAATATACCGAAACTACCCTTGTCTAGCTCAACTTTGTCTTGACGTAGGTCCTTGTAGTATATTACAACTCCCTGCTATAGTAATAATTGTGCTAACCGGTGCTAGATAGGTTATTTAAAGTCAAAATATTTTCTGATTTGGGTCAGTGTATCCATTTGTTACCTTGTTATCTATTTGCCTAAAACCACTCATTTGCAAGACTTGACTGCACATTGGAACCAGCTGGAGAGTTTCTAAAAACATGCCTGGGTCCCAGCCCCAGAGACTCATGGTGAATTGGTCTGGGGTATGGGCCAAAGATTGTAAAACCTTCTCCAGGTGATTCTAATGTTTGAGAACCATTGTCTAAACCAGCCGTGGGCAAACTACGGCCCGAGGGCCAGATTCGGCCCGTTTGAAATGAATAAAACTAAAAAAAAAAAGACCGGTACCCTTTTATGTAATGATGTTTACTTTGAATTTATATTAGTTCACACAAACACTCCATCCATGCTTTTGTTCCGGCCCTTGAGTCAAAAAGTTGCCCAACTCTGGTCTAAACTCTCTTCCTAGTTCAGATTTTAATTTTTCCAAGAGACCTTTTCACAGTTTTTAGGCAAATGATTTTTAAATTATTTCTTACTGAAATTTTGATTCTGCTAGATTATAACTGCGTTCTTTTCCATTATTAAATGATCAAAATGCAGATAATTGTATCAAGTTCTTGTCCATCACAATAACAAAAAAATAACAATTATATGATATTTGATCTTTATTTTAAAATATCTCTTGACCTAAAAAGTCTCTACAGAGTAGACATCAAGTTAAAATATTTGGTTAGTATTTATTTACCTGCATTCAAAATTATAGTACAATTCAAGGACTTTTAGAATTTTAAAACATTATTTTTAATGCTTTAAAAAAATCCATATTCAGTTGCTATTTGGTTTAGGTATACACTACAAATTAACTTATTTACTTGTTTACAAGAAAATATTAAGGCAAAAAGTAACGATCTTAGATTTCAGGATGGAGCCTGGTACTTTCTGACAAGCTAACACCCCCACTCTCGCCATCTGGAACCCCAGATCTCCACTCAGCCATGCTGCTGCAGTTCTTGGCCAGGTGATTGGGGCTGTTCCTTTTGGAAGACATTTGTGTATTCCCAACACCCCCAAAGACTCCGACACCCCACTTTACCTTCCCCCGTAGCCACTCATTAGGAGGAGTCCCCTGGATTCTAATCGTCTCTTGTCTCGGTCTCACAGTATGTGCACTCTGACATTCATACTGGGTGTCATTCAACTTTGGCAGCCTTTGTTCTGGTGCCAGACTCAGGGGTGCTCACTCTGCTAATTAAGCTAGTGCAGTATTCCTGGAGAGGGTCTGGACCTGCTGGGCTGCAGTGACCTGATGTGTCCAGAAGAGGACAGGGGAGAGATGTTGAGCTGAAAGATCAAGGCCTCTTCTAGAAGTCCCATCTGTGAGAGAAGCCATTCCACAAGAACATTTCAAAGCTAGGAGATGACAGGTGGCTCAGAGGCGGCCACGTAATTCACGGGACCAAAGCTGACCTTTATCACCTCAGGAGGCGGTAGGCTTCAGGGATCTGATAAGTGCTTAATAAAGGTCTGATGCTTTCTTCCTGCTGCCGTCACTTACAGTTTACAACCAGGGAGGCTAAATAGCGCGTAAGAAGCAAAGCTGTGATGTGAGCCCACATGGTGCCACTGCTCCGGGAGCAAAAATCAGTGGAGCTAAGCGGGCAGCAATCTTCCTTCAGATCTCAGCTCCATTTCCAGTTCTTCAGAGACGTCTCCTGACCCCTAACTAGGGCAAGTCTCCCTCTTAGGTTCTTAAGTTCTTAGGCCCCCCTTCAGGACAATTATGACACTGACATTTTACATACATCTGTGTAATACCCGATTCTCCCACCACACCAGCGGCGGACCAACTACACCTGAGGGGCAATTCTGCTCCCCTGGCAGAGTTGAGTAGTTGAGTAGGAGACCTTTCATGGCTGGCAAAGCCAAAAATATTGTCTGGCCCTTTAAAGTTTGCCGACCTCTGGACCTGGCTGATTTCCATTGGGCAGGGACTAGACCTATGTTCATTCCCTATTGTAACCCCACAGCCTGATAGAATAGTTGGCACAGAATAGACATTTGATAAGTACTTGTTGATACAGTTTAGAGTTGATAGTGAACCATGGATGGAAGTTAAAAGCAGGACCAACCAGAGGAAGGCAAATACCCTCACTGAAGGCTCCCCCAGGAGGCCCTGCGTCAGGCTGGCCGGCCAGCTTCCCCAGGCCCACAGCCTCCATCCGCGCACAGGAAGGCTCCTCTCTTTCACAATAAACCTTGCCCACTACCCTCCCTGCCTCTGAATCTCTGCCAATTGCAAGTGGTGGTGACTTGCTGTCCTAAGTTCTACGCCTCGGCTTTTCAATGCAGTCTATTTAAATCCGCCCCAACACAAAGATTCCATTGGGCTTCAGACAAAAACGGAAGATGCGCTCATGAGAAAATAATGCAATTGACACTTAGAGATGATCTAGCTCCTCAAATTCTGCCGGATCCGCAGTTGCTGGGGATGGCCTGGCCTTGCAAAGAAAATACAAAGCGAGGCAAGGCCCACCAGGGACCCTTGAAGCACTCAGACCTAAGAAGTATCACCAGGCACCAGCAGGAAGACCAAGACAGCTTCCTGGCTGATACGAAGGGGCTTTCCCACAGAACGCTTCATTGGCTGCCTGAGCATTCCTTCTCCTGTCAGCAATACCCTCAGAACACTGGTTTTTAGCAAATATTGCAACGGTGTTTAATCCCATCACTTTTTCTCATCTTAACTTTTATTATATTTCATTTTACTTTTTACACCCCACCTTTATAAGTACTTATCTAATGAAGGTGCTTTTTAAAATTAAACCTTAATGACCTCTACTAAACCCATATACTTGCTGAATGACTTTTTTTTTTTCCATTTCGCAACTCCATCACTCTCCTGCCTCCTCCCCAAACTTCGCTCCCTCCCTGGGACCCCCTGCTGCGCCTGTGTGAGGGCTCAG